CAAGGAGGCCAAAGAGGCCCCAGCCCAGCCGGCGCCAGAGAAGGTCAAGGTAGAGGTGAAGAAATTTGTGAAGATTGGCCGCCCGGGCTACAAAGGTAAGTCTATTTGGGGAGTGGGGATGCCACAGCTGACACCAGTGGGAGTGACCCATCCCTGAGCCACACAGATAATGCTGTTCACTGGCCTTCACTCGCCCACCCACCTGGGCCCTGTCCCACCTTCCTGACGTGATCCTGTCTCCAAGCACAACTGCTGAGCACAGCGTCCCTTGTGCGCGTCAGTGTCGTGGGAGCTCATAATTCTTCACATTCCTGGGAAGATGAGTGAAGGGTGGGAGGGACAGCAAGCCTGATGTGTCCTTCTCCTGTGAGCTTGGAGCTTGGCTCCTTTTAATCTGGACCAAAAGTAGAGTGGGAGAGTGAGGGTCTGTTAGCAGCAGCTTACTCGGTGGGACCATTGGCATAGAGGAGGGCTCTGAGTTACCTGAGCCGAAAAGCCAGATATGTGACCCAGCTGGAACACAAGGGACTGTGTTCTAACAAAAGGTGGGGGTGTCTTGTGGGTGACTGGCTTTGCAGACGGGACATAGCACGCAAAGGCCCTGGGGCAGGCCAGCTTGCCGAATGAGGGCGGGAGTGTCAGGATCCAAGTGCTCAGCCACCAGAGGCCTTTTGGCCATAATAGGCTGTCTGGTCCCTGTCCTGAGTATAGCTGGGGGATGTTGGAGGGCTTAAAGAGGAGTGTGACATGCCTGGGAGCTGTGCGGAGAATGGTCTGGAAGTCCCAGGAGCTCTGATGCAAAGGGCACCCTCTCCAGGAGGAAGGGGTGCAGGCCTCACTAGACCCCCACCCCCAGTGCGCGGTCCTCAGTGCTGTCCCAGGCCTTGGGTGAGGGTAACAATGTCCGTTCTCCCACCGCCACCCTTGTGGACTTGAGCAGGCGGTGCCTGCAGCACAGAGCCCTCCCAGGCCTGGGCGGTGCCCTCCAGCCAGGTAACCTCCCCCAGTGTCCCACCCTCCGTTAATGGGTCCTTAGTTTGGGAGGGCAACGAGCCGGCCTGGACCTGAGACCCTCGTGTGTTGCAGTGACCAAGCAGAGGGACACGGAGATGGGCCAGCAGAGCCTTCTTTTCCAGGTGAGATGAGGGGCCTGGTTGTGAGGGAAGGGGCTCCGGAAGGCTGTGCTGCCACCTGGCCATGTCCCCGCAGATCGACTACCCCGAGATCGCTGAGGGCATCATGCCGCGCCACCGCTTTATGTCAGCCTACGAGCAGAGGATCGAGCCCCCTGATCGGCGGTG